AAAGAAAAAAATCCTTAATATCTCAAAATTTTACTAATGTAACCATATGTAGGTATCTTAAGTAAAATTGTTCAGCACCTAATTTTGCATATAACTACACATATTTCTAAATATAACCCTAACCTTATTATATATATAAGGCTCTATATAATTATTATACCAAATTTAAATTTATATTCTGTTCTAATACAAAAGATATTTAAAAAATTTTTTGTAGATTTAATAGTTTAAATAAAAAGCTATGAAATATATAAAAATTTTTTTTGATATCTTCTATATTTAGAACAGTATATTAATTTAAAAATTTTTATAATTAAAAGATGATGGCTTTTCATGAAATATACTATAGGAACATGGGATTGAAAATTGAAAACGAAAAAGGATACATGTAGTGTTCAACAAATATACTCTAACTTTACCCGCGCAATTGACATCTGTATCATTCAAATTACTTTCTTGACATTTAAGTAGCAATTTATTACGAATCCATCTAATTTGTTTCCTAGAGTATCGGCGCGTCGCAGCTTTCATAGCTTCAATACTAGATTCCTTTATAGCATCTAATTACGAAACAACCTATAAATTCAAGTGATTATTTTAATATAGCTCTGGCACAGTTTACAAACCGATGGCATTATCATCTGAATGTGGAGTTTCTTCCAAAGTTTTTAAATAGGGTTCAAATTCTTTACATCCTACCACAATAAAAACATATAATTAGAATCATTGTTATTATATAATTCAATTTAGTTTAATAACATCTTTACCTATGACTTGCCAAATTCCACGTGTATAATTTATACTTCCGCCAGATGACATATGAGCTGACTCATTATTCACCTTATTCCTAAGGTATATTAGTTCTTCAAAAAGTCCCTCCTGAGATGCAGACCAAATAAAAATGACCTTCAATGTCCTTGTTATCAATTATTTAGTGAATTATATTTTTAAGCCAACATTTACCTTAATCATTTTATCTACTCTTTTATCGAGTCTTTGGTCTAAGACTTTAGGATCAGCATATAACCAAAAAATGCATGTTCGAGGAAATCTATAAAGGAAGTATTAAGAGTATTATTGGCACTATCATCGATAATGAAAATTATTTTTCGTAACGAAATCATTCGAACCTCAATGACAAAGCCTTTTCATCTGGTTGATGTTGTTCTTTAATCCAATCACTATGATATTTTCCTGTTTGCAAATATATCTGATATTAAGAAATGAATATTTAGAACGTCGTTGAATAACACATTTTAATAAAAAATTCTATATCCTATACTTGTAAACTTCTTCGAATTTTTCTTCTATCATTCCAATGCCATTTATTAGCCATTATTGGGTCAACTTCTTGTAATCGTTTATAGAG